CCTTGGCATTGGTTCACAATAGCAAAGTTGCATGGCCTTTGAATTATTTAAAGCAAGGGGTTTTGGAGCGACCAAGTTGCCAATTCAAACTGTGGTCACTAAGCAAGAACTACCTGTATAACACTTACCATGCATTCTTTAAATCCTTGTGCAGCCTCCTGATCTGCAGAACCTGCCTCGCATGCAAGTTTAACATTTTTCACACCATATCACCTTTTGAAATGCACATGCCAGCCAGCACTATCCAAGAAGGTTTTACATTTTCCTGACCCTGGGTATCATGGATATAAATTTTTTTGGCTTTCAACCTCACAACAATGCTGTCCACTTTGCTTTTTTATTGGTCATCATCTTATGATTCCACAAATTTACCCGCTTTTCCATCTTCATCATGCACTATTGATATTACTGTGGTGCTTTCCACAGTGGCCTCACATACAGATCGACAAATTTCTTCGTCCTTTTTCTGGATGTACCGGATTGTTATTCACTAACACTGAATTCACAGCCAATAGCACTATAACTCATGCCTATACAAAGCCTATCTAGCTCACATATTTTCTCTGTAAGACACATTACAGCTTTCTTGCACTTTGGAACACTAGGCTTGGGGGCCATTTTAACCAGCAAGATCACCAGTATGAGAGAAGACATGTGCAGAGTGATCACTTAAAATTTTCACCACTCTGCACAATGTCTGTAAGTAACTGGGAACACATTGCAAGTATTGATTTTGGGGTTACAAATATATTTTAGCAAATAGGCGAATTCTCAAATATGGAACCTGTGAATAACGAGGATTGCCTGTACTTTTTCTTTCTGAGCCTTAGCACAATCTCTTACAGGCACTTTAGGCAGCCTTCTATAATAAAAAGCAATCACTTTTATCACCCTGTCAATATAACTCCCATTTCCACTCTCAAAAAGGGGAAAGAGCAAAAATAGTTCTTAAACAGTTCTTTAGAATAAATTTATTCTAAAATATTTCCCCATGCCCCATATTTCTGCCTTATATAAGAATTGAGGAACTATTTTCCCTTTAAAGATCTTAACTTTTGTGGGACTAATCTGCTTCCTTTCAAGGAGCTACATGCTTCAATGAACCTCACAGCTGTCATTTTGGCACCGTAATACACAGGGACCATGACAATGACTGGAAAAAATACTTACACATTTAAAAGAGTTTGCTGGTTCCAATATATTGGCATCAATAAACCACTTATGTTTTCTCTGTCTTTTGGCAAAAAAAAAAAATCTTGGTTTTATAATAGTTAATATTAAGCAATTCAGAATTTACTCAACTTTTTAAAGAATTTGCAGGCCAATTTGTACAGTTGAAAGGAATACCATATCTTCTGACCATGAAGAACAAAGTTCCTGTGACTTCCAGTAGACAGTGGGAAAAAAAGCTCTATAACCTTATCATTATCATAAGAAAACAAAATGGCACCAAGATACATTCCCGTCTCACCACCTAATTTATTTTTTCTGTTACAACAATTTTCTATCTGTTTTGCCTAGTTTGATGTAGCCACACTTTTACAGAGACACCATAGTTTGTGTATCAAAGCAATACGCTTTCTGCCCATATCTGAAACGTTTTCCCCATAGTCTATCTCTGTTCACCAAATCAAATGTTTGTAATAAATCAGCAAATGCCCTTGGGTGATTGTTCAGACTTCCAAATGAAATGCTGGAAAATAAAACAATGATCTGGTGTACTGAAGCCAATCTTAAATCCAGTCTGTTCTTCCCAATCCAGGAGTTTTTGAAGGAGATATTTTGCACACAATTTGCAACTTACATTGAGACTAATAGGCTAATAATTAGTTGGATTTGTTTTATCCCCTTTTCATAGGTATCCTCTTTTACAGGTAGTCCTTGCCTGACAACCACAATTGGGACCGGAATCTTGGCCGTTGAGCGAAGCGGTTGTTAAGTGGGACACCCATGTGACTGCTTCATTCAACGACTGCAATCCAGGCACTCCTTGTTGCAGTCATTAAGCAGATGAAGTGAAAGAGCTGTCTGCTGAAGGATTTCAGCTTTGTGTGGAGCTGAAATCCTTCAGCAGACGGCTCTTTCACTCCATCCTCTTTCCTTTCCCCTCAGTGGTGAACGGAACACCTGAAGATTTGAGGTCCGCACCTTCACAGCGCTGAACAGGGGAGGGGAAACCTTGCAGAGGTGTGAAGGCAGGGACCTCAAATCTGAAGATTTGAGCTCCATAACTGCCAACCGCCACATTCCCTCCACTTGCAACCTTCCCTGCCGGTATGTTTGGACAGGAGGGGATCAGAGTGAGGGGAGAAGTGGGGGCTTCCAGTTGTCTATATTGCAGGGGGAGCATCCCTAGCCCAATATGGGTGCTGGAAGGCAGGGAGAGGGAAGTGGTGAAGGATGGGGCTCTGTCAAGGGCCCTTTTGTGTGCAGCCCCCAAGTAGAGTGGAGATGCAGCTTCCCTTGTCTGCTGCTCCTGTCCGGGACCTTTGCTCCTGCTTGGCCACAGGGGAAACCGGGCATCTGCCTCAGAAAGACGCCCATCAACTACTCTATGTCTCCTCTTGGCCAGCCCTAGATCCAAAGCAACCCAATGGGGAGCCTTCCCAGCCCTGCTTGACAATCCAAGTTGCATGTGCCTGGAACAGCTGGAGCGCAGGTGGCTTGGAGTCTGTGCCCTGGAGCATTTGCAAAGAGAAGGTGCCCATGGGCAGTTTGGCTGGCCAGCTTAGGTTGTACCGGCTTGGGACCCCAGTTGTCTGTTTCCATTTTGGCGGAGCAGGAGCTGCGGGGGAAAGCCTTGGAGAAAAGATGGTGCCCTCATGGTGGCGCTGCTTTGCTATGAGGAAAGTTTGACCAAAAAGAGGGGACTGTGAAGACGCCAGGACTTGGCAAGTGGCTGCGGAGCTGCCTCTTGCTTTGCCCAGAGCTGCATCCTTTTGGCAGGTGCATGGGAGGTGCTCTGTCAGATGGCCATCAATCACTCCCCCAATGGGGCACTGAGCTGTGAGGAAGCACAGCCGGCCAGCCCAGGAGGTGGGTCCCTGGATGGATGGAAGGCGCTGCCTTGCTTGGCACATCATCCCCCTAGAGGTCTCTCTGTTCTGCAAGAGGGGGGAGGGAAGAAAACAAGCGATTTTTGTAGACAATCCCTCCTGTGCCTGATGTTCCCCCCACCTCGCCCACAGAATGGAGAGATTGGAAAGGAATTGATTACAAGAGAGTAAGCAGGCACACAATAGGGAATACACTGGCTGTTTGCTGAGTGTGTTTGCAGTTGTTGGCACCAGAGCATTGCTTTCGATGAGTATTCCTCATTGTATGCCTGCTTACTCTCTTCTATTCCCTTCCTCTCCAATCTCTCTGCTCTGCAAGTTGGGGGTGCGGGGGAGAAAAACAACAGGTCAGCTACAGGATAACATGTACTGACTGAAATGGTGATCATGTGACTGAGGGATGTTGCGAAGGTCATAAATTGGTCATAAAGTTATTTTTTTCAGCACCATCGTAATTTTGAATAGTAGTTGCACAAGTGGTCAATAAGCAAGGGCTACCTGTAAGGTAGGTAGCTTATTTATTTATTTGACTCATGGCTTCACAGCTCTAATTTGGTCACTACCATATATTACTATATATATTTAGTAATATATATCTATCAAACACCTTTCAGCAGCTCCATTTTATGCTCTTTTATAGCAGGTTATTGAAAGTCAGAATCTGGCAAAATTGGCTCCTTTCTTTCACCAAGCCAAATTTGTTGGAGGAAAATTACATATAAATACTGTAGAAAGGTAGAAAATTGTTGATCTACAAATTTATTTTTCCACCTTGCAGTATTACATAGATACCTTTTATATCAGGATTCTCCTCCTTGCTTAATTCATTTTTTATTATGCCTATTATAGTTTAATATCAGGGTGGCTTGATTCATAGATGTAGACTTTCTCTGCTCTGTGAGCGTAAACTAAAAGTCTGAAGACTGAATCAAGTTTTCTGTGAATTTGTCCTGGACCTCTGTCCCCTAGCCATTGTCTTAACCAAGTTTCTTACTGCTGGGAAAGTAACAAAAAGGAGCACTTGGGGTATCTAGCCTGATCCTATTTTTCAGCTTACTCCCATAATTATGTTGGCTATCACTAATTTCATAAGCCCTCAAGACAAATCGCCTCTAGGCCCTTAATTATTCTTGTTTAAGTTATTCAATGTACTTTTCCCGATCTGTAGAAAATATCCATGTATTATGTTTATATACTATATATATTATATACATAACTTGATGGGCCTTTAGCACCAAAGAAAAATAAGATTTTTCTTTAAAATAATTTCAAAATTTAAAAACAAGCTTTTATTTCCTCACTGCCTACTCTCCAAGCCCACCCGCATGTCCTGAATAAATTTCATCCCTTTTTTCCCAATATGATTAAATATGATGCAAACTACTTTCTTATTCTGAAGCCGGCTATCACACTATATTCCCCGCTATTGCACGATCTTATATGGCCTAACCATGTGAGTATTTGAGTATTTTTCCTTCAAAGCTTGCAACCATTCTACTTACGGAGTAGAAGCAGACCTGCTGTCTTCTTGCCAGATATCCTTGGTCTCTACGGAAGACTCAATGCCTGGGAGCAATTTTAATTCAAAGGAAATTCTATCCATGCGATCTAGACTTTCAAACTGACAAAGCTAATTATTTGAAAGTCTAGGATCAAGACCAAAAGCTTTAGAGCTGCATCTAGTGCAGCCCAGATATGCAGTCAGAAGAAACTCCACTTTTTTATTTGTATTTTATCTAAATGTAAAGTTTATCATACTATTTTCAAATCTCAGTACAAAAGAGATTTGCAAGTGATTTTTCAGGCAATATGGCAGGGGAAACAAAAGCAGAAAGCAAATTCCCATTGCAATGGCTTGAATTCCACTTCAATTTCAGTCAGTGGTCTCCAATATTTTCAAAACGGTGTAATTGTAATTTCTTCACTCTTATTGTTTTTTTGTACCTGCCAGGTTCAATTCCTCTTGCTAAAATTGAAGATTTCTTGAATTTATAAGCGTGATCTGAGGTAAAATGCAAAAGAGATGCTTTTCGCTCACTTTCTCTTACAGGGCAATCATCTAAAAAAAAAAAATCCAATATGATAATAACTTATACAGATATTTTGAAAACGTAATACATAAATCCACTGGTAATTTAATATTAGAATGTGTATTCTGAAACAAATGATAAAATATGAAAATTTTAAAATATATACATAAACAATAAAGGTACCTTGAAGGAGTAAAACAAATACCTGAACCAAACCTCCAAACTTCAAGGGGCCCTGGTCTCAAGCAAGCCTCCTTAATAGCTTGCTTAGGCATTTGCAGATGGTGGCTCATGAGTTATCTTAAATCAGCACTTGTATTTTTAAATAGTAACTAGGAAGTAACTAATCACGAAAACTGACTCATGCTAGCCTCCGCTTTATTATTCTGCTTATCTCACTATAAGCAGAAAATCTAATCCATTTTATCGAAAAAAAGGTGGTTGGCATTTGATATCATTATTAGTCAGCATGTATTACAACTATATAAAGGCTGTTTGTACCTTCCTTAAGCGGGCAGAACCTTGTGGTCTGTCCCCAGTGCTGTTCAAATAAACTTGGCTCAAGCAGATCATGGGGTCTCCATTCATAAATTGGGTTGTGGGGAATTCCCCCCTTCAACCTTCAAATAACACAGGTTTGAAAATTGAAGGCAAGCTATAGCATAGGATTCTAAGGTATGGGTCAGCTATTAAAGTACTAGAAAAGTGGCACTAAGTGCTACCAGTGGCTCAGTGATTAGCTATAACTACCAGAAACATGTACATTTTATCAATGCAGTCCAGCTAGAATGAAGCAGTGTATAAATTCCATAGATAAATTAAAATCCTTGGGTAGTCTCACTTCACCTTTCAGCCCAGAATGAAGTAGCCATGTATGACTGGAGCCAAAAGTTTATCATAAGAAATATAAGTTTTATTTATTATCACATTAAGTCAGTTCTAATTCTGTGATCTAAAAAGCCAGTTTCTGTTCACATTTAAGAATACAAGTATTTCTGGCCTGAAAACTGGAGTAATTGAGACTGATTCTGGGGCGGTTAAGGTGTAATACATCATAATGTATACACACATATATTTTCTCTCTCTCTCTCTCTCTCTCTCTCTCCCCCCACATATGTGCACACACACACACACACACACATTTTGCCCTGTAGTAGCCCATAGTGGGCAAGTGCTATAGCTGCAAAGTTTGAAAACCCATGTGATAGTTTAAAATTTAATTATTAAACTTGGTGCATTTATTTCTTGTCCAGTCCTAACACCAATGAAATTATTAGTTTTATTCATGGGGTAATTTATATAAATACATTCATCACTTCAGTGGGTTTGCTCTAGGTAACTGGTTCCACACAAACAGCTCTTACCATTAGAATGTTTTCCCCTATATTTAACAGGAATCTACCTTCCTGCAATTCGATCATTACCCTGTGTCCTGTATACTGGAATGTTCAAGGTTGTGTATGTTAGCTTAGAGAAGAGAAGACTGCAAAGAGACATGATAGCTGTCTTTAAGTATTTAAAGAACTGCGATGTAGAACAGTGTTTCTCATCCTTGTCAATTTTAAGATGTGTGGACTTCAACTCCCAGAATTTATGCTGGCTAGGGAATTCTGGGAGTTGAATTCCACACATCTTAAAGTTGCCAAGGTTAAGAAACATTGATGTAGAACAAAGGGTAGACTTGTTCAGGGTTCTTTCATGGCAAAGCACAATGGGTTTAAATGAAAAGGAAGCAGATTTTGGTTGGACAACAGGAAGGATTTTCTAAGAGGATGTTCTTAGAAGAGCTGTTTAAGAATGGAACAGGCTATTTTGGAAGTTGGTGCAATCTCTTTCCCTCAAAGTATTTACAGTAAATAAAGCTGGATGTCATCCATCAAGGATCCTACACAGGACAGTGGATGGGCTAAAGTTACTGTCAATCCTTACATTCTATGATTTTCTAAGCACAGGAAGCTTTTACAGAGCCTTACACCAAATAACTAGGGTAAAAAATAGAGAATTTTTAAAAAGTGAAAAGTATTTTTTTTATTTTTCATGTTAAAAGATGTTACTAATTTTGTCACCTATTTTATGTGAGCAGCAGTCAGTCTTGGCCCCACCCACTCTAGGATTAATATGTCTCTTTTGAGCTAACTAGATATGTTCCTTGAGTTTTTTTCTTCAAAGCTTTATATAAGTCACACTTATTGGCCAGCAAAGAAAAGGTGCACAGCTTTCTACTGGAGGCCAACATTTCTGTTCTCAGAAACCTGTATCTCCTATTTCATTTTGACTAACATCTAGGAGCACAATCTGCAGCATTCTAAAGCCATAGAATATTTATTCTTCTGTCTTATTTTAGAGACAGGATGCCAATCTTGAAAAAAACAGACAGCAGATTTCCCCCGCTACTCTCCAATGGCTTTGAAAGTTGTTTTTTTCCAAGATCAAAAAATGTTTACTTCAGAAAATCCTATAAAGAGATGGTCTATGCCAATGGTGGCTTGTGAGTGTTCGGGCCAATGGATCCTAAGTACTCTTCCTCTGCCCCAATCTCCACCAGCAACTAGGCAGAATTATGTATTTTACACTCTGTTACTTGCAAACACCTAACCCACTAGAAGACGAACAAATGGGAACATCTCTATAGCTGTCCCGTCACCTGCAACCGGCTAATAAATCATATGCACTGAAATCACCCAAACAGTGAACAAATTGTTAAAATTTCAGGTTCAAATAATCCATAATCTGGCCACATGACTATCAGTAGAATTTACACAGCAAGCCTACTTGCCTAACCGTCTGAGTTTAGGAAGCATATGTACAACAAAAAGGCGATAATCTGATTCATTTTTAACAACAGGATTCAGTCGGAGATCCACATCTTGGAGTGCAGTTAAACTGTAGAGCCGTAACACTTCTGATAAGGAGGAGATATGATTGAAGTAGAGATTGAGCTTTTCTAAGTATGTGAGATGTTGAAGGCCCTGTTTTAAAATATGAATAGACAGAGCCTTCCTCAGTAACCAGTGCTTTTATCAAAATGACTAAAACAGCATTGTGCTATAACCTCCTCCTTTTCATACATATGCAAAAATGGCAAAAATGTCATTTGCTCCCCTTGGCACTCTACCACCACCCACATATACATATAGTAGATGCCTCTGTAAGGAAGATATCTCAGTTCAGAACTGTAATAATGCTTATCCCTCGGTATATCACCCTTGTCAGATATTTCAGATAAGTAGGCTGCTAAGTTATGGATCAATTTACAGTGATGCTTAAAAGTTTGTGAACCTTTTTACATTTTCAATATTTCTGTATAAATATGGCCTAAAATGTGATCTGTTCCCCACCCAAGTCCTAAAACTAGATAAAGAGAATGCAATTAAACAAATGAGTCAAAAACATTATACTTGTTTGTTTATTCATTGAGGAAAAGTGCTCACCTGAACCATTGGTTATACACTTTTTAACACATAGGAAATGCCTTTTATTTCCCACATTTTAAACATTTGTTTCAATAGTCCCTTTACTATTCATTACAGTGTAGTTTTATTCTGTACCTACTGAAAATCTCTATATGTGTGCTTTATTACATTAGGATATTTTGATGGCCTTAAATTGTATTTTGTGAACTAATAGAAGTGAATATGTGTAGCTCAGGGTTGAACCGTGGAGTCCTTGAGGTTCTCTGAGCTTGGTTGTTTTCTTGCAAATGTTTCATTACC